ATTTAGATGTAGCCTTCTGTCATTGTTTAAATGGTACATCAGTTGTCAGAACAGGTATTGTCTGAAACAAAAATAATATTATAGGCAAAAACATTCATCTGAATCAGAGAAATTCTACCTAATAGTTGGACCGTCTCACAAAAACTCTATCCTGGTTTCTCCAGGAAAGTGTTTTAATGATGGGGGAGGAATGTGCACTCAACGCACTTAAACAACGCAATGAAAATCTGGAAATCCCATGGCAGTGGGATGATTTATGACCGTTTTTCATTAGGACCAAGACAGCGTCCCCATGGTCATGTGATAAAATTCAGACACTCGGGAACTTACAACCACAATTAAGCCCAAAATTTATGTTGATAAGTGAGAAATTTATTAAGTGAGCCATGCCCCATTTTATGACTTTTCTTGCCACATTTGTTAAACAAATCATTGCAATTCTTAAATTAGTAATACAGTTGTTAAATGAATCTGGCTTCCCCGTTGACTTTGCTTGCCAGAGGGCTGCAAAAAGTGATCCCATGGTTCTGATCCAGGTGGTCAAGGCAAAACTCTAGAGAGTCCTTTATTTCTCTCAACAAATAGTCTAGCCAGCGGCTCTCCAGCAGCTGCTAAGGCTCCACCCCAAGACTACCCTGAAGGCAGCTTCCCTGAGTCTCCCAAAGAGCCCCATGGTACAAAGGAAGCCCACAGAGGAGGAACCCGCTCCCAGGGCAAGGTCCAGGCTCCCAAGTGCCATTTCCCCAGGCAGAGTCCAGGCACAAGACAAGGCAGTCCTCCGGACAAGGGACAGGTCCCAGGAAAGAAGCCATCCCAAAGCCCCAGTGAACAGAGGCCAAGCGCAGGACACAAGAGAAGGCAGGTCCAAGGCAGAAGGCCAAGAGCCACCTTCCAAACGAAACAAGGCAAACAGCAAGAGGCACAAGTCAAAGCTGGGGAGCGTAAGCCAAAGCAAACAATGGTTCCTGCCCTAGACTAACTCCCCACAGCTTCTCCCTAAGTTACTCCCCTCCAGGTGTTCCTTGTGAGGCGGAATAGGGGGATCTCCTCCCGAGTAGCCTTGCAATCCTTCTCTGGGCTTCCCTCCACTCTGCTCTCCTTGCACTTGGATCACGTGGAGGAGGCAGCAGTCCCACATCTGAGAGGATCGTCTGCCTAGCAGCACCACTGCCGATCCGATCCACCCCCGTGTCTGTGCAGGCAGGCAACTCTCCGTCTGGCCAGCCATCTCCCTCAATGCCTGAACAGCATCATCCTCAGCCCAGCCCCAGCCCCAACTCCTCCTCCTCCTCCTCCTCCTCCTCTGACCCAGGCTCAGAGGAGGCCATGGCTGTGGGACAGTGCAGCCATCATAGATAGGATTCAGTTGCCAAGTGCCTGAATCTCAATGACATGACCACGGGGATGCTGCAAAGGTCATAAGTGTGAAAAATGGTCATAAGTCACTTTTTTCACTGCCGTTGTAACTTTGAATGCTCTACTAAATGACCTGTTGTAAGTCAAGGACTACCTGTATTTGGCATCTATTTCTTTGTCATCCTCTCATCCTAACAAGCCACAAGCATCTTCCCCCTGAAACTGCTGAGTGGCCTGTCAGGCTGACAGTGGGACCAAGCTGGGAGATCCAAAGCTTGCCAACAGTGAATCGTCTCTTAGCCCTCATTGGGAGCCTCGGTTGGTGATTTAATTGCATACCCCAAATCTTTTCCCCACACCCCATTTCCTCCCTCCCTCCCTTTGCCTTCCCTTTCCCTCTTCCTTGTTGGCAGATCACCAAGCCTGCTGCTCAGGACGCCAGGCCCTACTTGGTGCCTTCTCCTAGTAATTGCCAGTGACATGAAAAATGGTGCAGGCTGTTCTGATTCTGCAGCCGTGACGTCACGGATGGCCCATCCGTCAGCTCCCCCCCCCATCACGTGTCCCAGAGAGGGCCCAGAGTGCTCTGCTTTCTTTTCTGTGGTCTCAGCCCTTCCAGCATTCATCAGCCGGGCCTTGGACAAGGCTGCCTCCAGGGTCCTCTCCTTCCCTCCATTTCTTTTCCCCCTTGGCCATCCAGCAGCCTCCTCCCCTCTCTTGCGGTGGGCCGCACTCAGCTGTGTTGGCAGCCCGCCTGGTTTGGCTGCTCATTTCAGCATCTGGAATTAGCAGCACAGAAGGAATCTTATTAATTAGTGGCAGAAGGGAGAAGGAAGGGAGAGGGGGCTGCTGTTCCGTACAAGCCGAGTGCATGATGTGCAGCGTTATAAATAGGCCTGGACTGACGAGTAGCCCGTCACAGCTTCAGAAGTTGTAATTAGGTAACTTTCTTTCCCTGTCCAGGGGAGGGTTACGCAACTGCCGACTGCTGGGGAAAGGCAAAAGTCAGCACGAAGGAAAAGCCCGGAAGCTCTGTGCAAACATTCTCCCATCTTCTGCACCGTTACAGGAGCTGAGCTGCATTCAAATGTTTCAGCTGGCATGTTAAAATACAGGGGCAACATTTCAAATAGGCCATCCCAGGCCGGGTGAATTCCATACTAGGATCCTGTGGAAATGAGCGAAGTAAATTGTAAATTGTAAATTTAATGAATTTATATGCTGCCCAATCCCGAAGGACTCCGGGCGGCTTACATAAAAACAGCTACAAAAGAATACAAAAAGAAAGAATAAAATAGAGAAAGCAGACTAAAAAACACATCATGCACTCAGTCTTAGTGGGGCTGGACCTCAGTCATAAGGTCAACAGCCCCAGGCCTGCCGGAATAGCCAGGTCTTAGTAGAC